ATGACACTTTTCAGCACTTAACATATACCAGATTTCCTTTTGCTTTTGTTGATTGCATATTGCGGTTATTCGCTCAATGCAGCAAGGGGCTAAATTTTTTAGAATACTTTTGCAATGTTAGTAATATTAAAATATGTTGCCAATAAGATATTTCAGGACTTTAAATTGTAATAATACAAAAAATAAGACTTAGGAACATTTCTGTGTTGAGAGTAATCTGAAGGACCTGTTACCTGCCAAGACCTGTTTTCAGGATTCTTTGTTTCTCCTGCAAATGTTAATACCCTTATCACATACAGTTGTTCATAAAGGAGACAGCATAAAGAATGTTTTATGTGGCTTATGTGATCACCTAATACAGGAGAATACAGAATTCTGAACCCTAGAAAAGAAGACGGGTAAGAAATCTGTTTATAGATGATAACATACTTAGATTAGTTTTGACTTGTGTTCTTTATCTACCAATACATTCTGTCAGTGAGCTAGGACCTTACACGTTTGTTTGTATTTTAGTATTGTGCATCCTTATTTGCAAATTACTGCCTCAGGATAATTTTATTTTTAATTACCTTACAAACACTTGACCATATGCTGTATAAAAATGTTAAATGGCGTAAAGGATATTGATTAAAATATAATTTTATAATATGAATGTTAAATCTGAATTGATCCTTATATTGATATAAAAATCCATTTTATTGGTGATTTTTTTTTTAAAGAAAACTAAATTTCTTTGCACTGACTGCGGGCAGAGCTAATCTCTCAACTCTTTTAACATATCAGCAGCTTCTAGCTGTTATATATGGAAGGTAAAAATGATGATAGAAAATTTTGCTACAAACATGTTTGGTTTGAACTCTACACAGAACGACAGAAATCCGCTTGAATTGCACATGACTTGGAGCAGTGGTGCTCAACCTCTTTGCCCCAAAGGCCGGACAAGTGGTGTGGGGCCTGTCAGCAGGCTGGATCTGGCCTTGGGCCACCACTGTCTGGCCCCACACACACGCACATCAGGCTCCATGCCACCCTGATCAACCTCCTTGCCTGTGCCACCCCAGTTGGCTCTGCACTGCCTTGATCAGCCCCACATGCCCAGTCTAGCAAGCAAGGCCATGTTATCTGGCCTACCAGGCTCCCCTTGGGTCCAGAAATTTGGCAGCAATGGAATAGCAATTAACACTGCCACTAGTCCCCCCCTGCCCCCCCCCCCC